GCAGCGTACCCCCAGACCGCGGAGGCGTAAGCGAGCTGAGGTCTGGCGATGGCCTTGATCAGCCGTAGCTTGGTCGCTAGCGGCATCCGGCTGTGTCTACCCAGTATTGGGTAGAGTTGAGCCATGGCTGCTCTGGTCTTTGCGATGACAGCTTCTATGTGTGGTCTTTCCAGGTGAGGGACTTGTCAAATACGATCCCCAGATATTTGACCTTGTCGCTCCACTGGATATCTTCGTCGATGATGGATGCTTCGAGAGGGCTTGCAATCCTTCTTCGTTGGATGAAGATTGCCTGCGTCTTCTGGACGTTGATACGGATTTTCCATTTCACGCAACAGTCCAGTTCATCCTGTAGTCTGCTACGGATAATCTCGGGTCGTCGATGCTTAGCGGCGATAGCAATGTCATCTGCATATAGGGCCAGCATTGTGTGAGCTGTCTTCGGTACGTCATGAGTATAGATGTTGTAGAGCAGGGGGGACTGAGGCTGACTCCTGGAGCACGCCTGCTACCAGCTGTCGTCGTGTTGAATGGCATGTACCAATCCTCACCGCGAACCGTCTTTGTGTTAGATAGCTCTGGATCAGTTGGCACATGTTTGCATCGGCGGTCCTGGCTGCTCTAGGACTCGTTCTTGGTGGCGGCAGCTGGCATCTTTGGCTGCCTTGGCGTCTCGTCTTCGGAGGAGGAAATTCGCACCCGCTTTTTTTTTTCCGTCTGGTGGCGACACTGAAATCGGTGTCGTCGTTGCTTGCTGTCTCTGTCGTGGTCCTATCCTCTTCGGTCCGTTGGGTGTCCTCTTCTTGAGCGTCCATCTCGTCCGACGTAGCCTGGTGGTCCTCTGCCTCGCCTTCTTCGGTCTTCTTTGCGGCCTTCTTCGTGGCCCTGCGGAGCTTCCCGTTCAGGTCCTCGATCTCCTGTTGTGCTTGCAAGAAGGCTTCTTGCAGGTTTCGCATCTGCTCTGCCAGCATGGCGACAGCATCTTTCTTCTCTTTCAGCTGGTTAGCCAGCTTCTCAATTTTCGCCATCGTAAATGACAAACAACCAATCTATCGCAATAAGATTGCTCAATATGTCCGGGTGTGTCGCAGTCGTGCAAGTATACACTCGCAACGGCTGCTAGCTCGGAACTGATGTTGCGCGCACACACACCACACACCCTCCTACCCTGTGCGGTCCCTCCACCACCCCTGTTCCAGGCAACCTCATACCCTTGAGGAGTGGGGGGAAGAGCAATGTGTGAGACAGAGAGAGAGGGGGGGGGGGGAGAGGGAGAGTTAACGTGATTGTCGTTATAGACACTAGCGGCATTGTATGTAAAATTGCGTTGGAATAAAGTTCTATCATTCCGACAGTACCTCTAGAAAGTAACTATCCCTCCAAGGTATCTCCATATAGTCGAGCTCCACAACCCATCGATGCTAGGTAAACATAAAATGTTACGGTAAGTAAGAATTGGTATTATTTGTTGCATTTTCCATGTCACGATCCGTATCGTAGAAACGTAACATCACACTGTATCATGCGGTTATTGGGCTGTTGTTACTTGAATCCCAAACAGCATGAAGGAATATCGGCAAAATATTACGTGATTTTTTTTTTGTTTCCTGATCCGATGATCTCTATTTTTTCTTCAACAAACGAATTGTGTGGCCCTGAGAAGGGCCGATTTCTAGTTTTGACGTTATTTTCTTATTATTATTATTATTTAGGCTTTCTTCTCTGTCTTTTTCGGCAATAGGACAGCCTGAATATTCGGAAGAACTCCGCCTTGGGCGATAGTTACGCCGGAAAGTAACTTGTTTAATTCTTCATCATTCCTGATTGCTAACTGCAGATGACGTGGAATGATCCTGGTTTTTTTATTGTCGCGAGCAGCGTTGCCGGCCAACTCTAACACTTCGGCTGCCAAGTACTCCATAACGGCGGCAAGGTACACAGGAGCTCCGGCACCGACGCGTTCGGCATAGTTTCCTTTACGCAATAATCTGTGTATACGACCTACAGGGAATTGCAAACCGGCCCTACTAGACCTGGATTTTGCCTTTCCTTTCACTTTTCCGCCTTTTCCTCGTCCGGACATGTTTATTTGTTTATTATTTTCTTTTTTGACTTGCGAATCGACGACTACAATCTGCTGTCGTTGACCGAATTAATAGAATAGAATGGCAATGTCTTTAGGTACGAGTATATTTATATAACTACTCCGACCAATCACCGTTTTCGTTTGTCGGTCACCCGTAAGGGGCGGAGTCTATGTCGGTAACGTCGTGGCTGTTAAAGCTCGCCGTTTATCCGCACACCTTTCCATTATAGATCACGATATTGTGTCAGTAAAGATCGTACTTTTTGTGTAAATCGAAACGCGATGCCACCCAAAACTAGCGGTAAAGCAGCTAAAAAGGCCGGTAAGGCTCAAAAAAATATTTCCAAGTCTGATAAGAAAAAGAAACGCAGGAGGAAGGAAAGCTACGCAATTTACATCTACAAAGTGCTGAAGCAGGTACATCCAGATACCGGTATTTCCAGCAAAGCGATGAGCATCATGAACAGCTTCGTCAACGATATTTTCGAACGTATCGCAGCGGAAGCATCCCGATTGGCACATTACAACAAACGTGCCACGATAACTAGCAGAGAAATTCAAACAGCCGTTCGACTATTGCTACCAGGAGAATTGGCCAAGCACGCCGTCAGCGAAGGTACCAAAGCCGTAACCAAGTACACCAGTTCGAAGTAATATGTAACTACGACGACAACAACAACATCAACAACAACTTACAACATAAAAACGGTTCTTTTCAGAACCACTAAAGTTATCAAGTAAAGATAATGATATCACCGTACGCGCAACATATATATTATTGGTACTTGAATACCAGATGATTATTCGTGATATACATACACCACTAAAGCAATAACGTCTGATATAAGACCCGACCGGATTATTTAATGGTAAACGAAAGCGTAAAAAAAGGGGATATCCTTACGACGCAATCGACTGTTTAACGTTCATTCGTTTAATTAAACACAATACATACTTATTTATACCCTTAAAAGCAAATATCGATGGTGACGACGCCTAACATTACCACTTGCTTATAAATACCTAATCGTAAACGAATAATACTCGAATTTAATAAAAAAAAAAAAAAAAAAAAACATCAACGCACGTACGAGCCGCAGTTGTACATGTATATTTCGATACAAAATTGCTAATTCGTAAATATTCTGTATCCTTTTTATAGTAATAGTGGTGGCCCTGAAAAGGGCCATTTTCAATCCGCGGGGACGTATAGCATCCTCTCGCATAAATATAACGTCTCGAACCGACGTAGCCGTAATCTACGACGTTGCAACACGTCTAAATTTTTTTTTTTATTTCTTCTTTTTGGGTGAAGCGGCCTTCCTTTTTGGCGATGTTGCAGCCTTCGCCGTTTTCGGTTTTGGTGCTTTTGGCTTCTTGGTCGGAGCTCCCTTGCTGGATTTCTTCGCCTTCGAAGGAGATTTTTTTGCAGCCGCTGCAGAAGGTGCAGCAGAAGAAGCTTTAGCCGACGTCGCCGATTTCCCACTTTTCTTTGTCTTAGCTGGAGAAGCTTTCTTCTCGGCCGCACCACCGGCCACCGCCGGTTTCTTAGCCTTCGGAGATGCCTTCTTCGCAGATTTCGCACCGCTAGCTCTCTTAGCTACGGTTCCGCTCTTCTTTGAGCCGGTCGCGGATTTCTTCTTCTTTTCGCCAACCTTTGCGGCTGACGATGATGAAGTTTTCGACGCTCCGCCAGCCGATGACGAAGCTAGCTTGAACGATCCGGAAGCTCCTTTGCCTTTCGTCTGTACTAAAGCTCCAGACGCGACGGACGATTTTAAGTACCTCTTGATGAAAGGCGCAACTTTCTCAGCGTCTACTTTGTAATTAGCGGCTATGTATTTCTTGATAGCTTGCAGAGACGACCCGCCACGCTCTTTTAATCCTTTAATTGCGTTGATGACCATTTCGCTAGTAGGAGGATGAGACGGCTTCGCCCTCGGATTCTTCGGTTTTTTCTCCTTTTTCGCAGACGACTGCGACGTCGGCGACGCAGAATTCGCGGTAGCCGTAGCCGACGCGGCGTAATTCTGGTTTTCCGTATCTGCCATGTTTACGAGTCGTGAAGAGGAGACAGATTATTGTATACGCGCGATCTTTTGCAATCACTGATCGACGATCTCGCTAAGAGAACGAATGTCGAATGAATGTGAGAGGTAAATTCAGCGTTGTCGCGAACCGCGCTTTATAACTTTCGAAAACGACAAGTTAGGAAAAAAGTAACTGCAGATTCAGAATCAGAACGTTCAGATCTTCAATCGTGCCAAGTTTCGTCAAAATCAAAGAATATCAAAAACGATCATTTTTTGCACAAGAGTGATTAGGGGGCCTTTTTGAGATTCGACGCCAGCGAGCGCGAGCGCTCAGTGTTCGGTCCGCCCTAATCCTTTATAAGAACGCGAAAATTTGATCGGAGTAACAGATTCAACAGATTCGAGAGAGATCGAAGAGATTCAGCAGCGAGCAGATACCACGATGCCCTCTCCAGTTCTCCGCGACCACTCTGCCTAGCAGCATCCGAGCAGTCCGCCGAGAACGCCGAATCGTTCCGTCTCAGCGATACAGCCAGTCGAGCCGCGCACTCCTGGCCCGACCGCCGTCGCGAACGGATAGGTCCGCGGGACGTAAAATAAAATTCGAGTTGCTAACCCCTCGGGTGGGGTATTGAAACGGGTCGAAATATCGAAATACACCGAATACCTATTGTGAGTTGTGGGGTTGCCATATTGTTTAAAAAAAAAAACAAAGGTGGTTTTAACCCCCACAACTGCACTTCACTGAGAGAAAAAGGTTACACTCACGTTGGCACGAAAGGGGTAGAACGGGGAGATTATCATCTCCGCAAGAACGTTCACTCTGTGCATTATTACCTTGGATATCATCAGCAGTACGGAACAGGCCGAGCTCCGTGAAGATGACATCGAGAAATAAAAAGACGACACGACGACAGCGCGAGGATCGCCCACGCTCCCTCATCGATGACGGTGTCGACGCTGTATGCAGAAAAGAGGAAGTTGCAGGGACCACGCATCGCAGTCAGGTCATAGGAGACTTGACTTCTCCAGCCCCCCTCCGTTCAGCCACACAGGCCCAGGGTCAAGGTAGGTGCGATGTTAGTGATTTCCGTGTGACTTCTCCACTTGACGTGAATTCCGCGCCGGTGATACAGTCATTCAGCCCGGCACCAGCTCTCGGTGCAAGAAAGGGAGCCTTCCTCGACTGTCCTGCCGTCTCCTCCAACCAAGAGTCTCAACAAGTACTTGGTCGTGTCGCCGATCCGAGGATCGACAACCTAGATTCGAATCAGAATCCCCAGGTCGGCCTCCCAGGCGAGGATGCCGACGCGGTGCGACGTGCCGCGATCGCAAGCACGCGTTCTACACGCGATGCGATCGTGGGCGCGCACCCCCAAGCGACCGACAGTGTTGGTCAGAGATACCAAAACATCACCGTGGAGCTAAAGTGCGATGAAGCACATACACGGTTCGACAGGAAGTGTATAGTACGCGGGGATGTCGTGGTGGTATCGAAATTAAACGATAATATAGGAGGTAGACGTCATGGCGCCCAACGTGGGGCCTTCCATGAAGGTAGTAATGGAAGACCTGCTTATTCAAACAATAATAGTGTTATAACCAGAGTAAATCGGCTGAATGCTGTACACCCCGTGAATGTGAATCATAACAATATTTTACATGACAATGACTCGATTTATATTGATGATATGATTGGAATTGATATTTGTAATGGTAATGTTTGTGATTTAGGGGGTTCAGTGTATGGTGGGGGTGATAATAATTTATTAAGGGACCGATATTCTGCGCAAGGTGACCGCCTGAGCATCCATAGTGGACACAGCAGTGTCGCACAGAGTTTGCAGGATCAGGTAGGGGACTTGCAAAGTCTAACGGCGGGGATAGCTCGACTTTTAATCAATCAAAACGCGACTCAGTCCCCTCCCCCGAGGTTACCGCGATTTAGTGGACGTGATTGGCAAGATCCAGAGGTTTTCTTCGGAAAACTGGATCGTTATTTCCGTCGATATGATATTCCCAGCGAGGAATGGGCGGAAATAGCGTTAGAACAACTGGAAGGCAAAGCGGAAAAATTGTTTGCTCATTGGAAACACTTGAACATTCGGTACGACGATGTCCGTGCGCGAATTTTAAAAGAATTCGACTCACCGGAAAAGCATTGTGCCTTGAGGCCAAATTGTTTGGTGAAACGCAAAAATCCGAGCCAACTGAGATTTTTATTGCTGCCAAAGAGGGATTGTTCGAACGAATTGCTCCGACCACGTCTCCACGTGAACGCGTCGTACAAGTGACAGCACTTTTACGACCGGAGCTAAGGATGATGCTGCGAGCTGTGCCAGTGAGCACATTGGCCGAGCTGTCCAACGTGGCGAGTGAAATCGAGGGTGATTACGCAAATTTGCAAGCTGGTGCATTGGGAGGAAAGGCGGCCCAGTCCTCTTTTGTGAAAAAAGAGGTCGGCCAGTCACGAAATTCTGACCAACCACCTAGACAGCCAAAGTGTTGGACTTGCGAAGGAGCCCATCACCAGAGTCAATGTCCGCTGAGGCAACCCAAAGGGACGAATTTCCAACGTCCAAGTCCTAACACCCACCAGAAACAGTCGGATAATAAAACGATTCCTAGGCAGAACCCTCCGGAGAGAGTGGCTGCCCAAATGGAAAGGAAAACCAAAGATAGGAAAAGTCCTATGTCTGAAGGACGGTCAAAGCAGACTGAACCACCTCGTAAGGAGGGGCGTCCGAAGCAAAATAGTTCCAAACCGCAGAACCCTTCAGCGAAAGCGGCTGCAAAAATGGAAAATAGGGGTAAAGGTTCAAGAAATCCTCCATCTACAGGGTGGTCCAATAGGACAGACTCCCGACAGAAGGAAGGACAACCGATCCAACAGCAGGTGGTGGTCGATGTCCACTCCCCTAGTCAAGGGCCTGCAAAGGTTGGAAAACCCTACAGGAAAAAGGGCAAAGGTCGCGAACGGTCGGACCTTGATGCAATCGAAATTGCAGAGTCTTTAAATTTTTGAATCGGCGAGAGGCTGAGCCAGCAGCCGTCTCGTCGGACCTCTGTCAATCTAGATCAAATCGGAAAAGGCGACGAAAACGGAAACGTAATTTGACAAACCTGATCTCCGACCAGTCGAAAGTGACAGCACTTTCCGCGAATGAGAGTAAACGATCGAGTCCGCGACTCATTCGTTTTCAAGCCCAAGTGAAGAAGAAACGGATTTGGGCCCTTTTGGACAGTGGGGCGTCCATATCTTTCATACACCCCGATGTGATAGAAGGATACAGGGTGGAAGGCAAATCCGTGGAAATCCAGCTTGCAGAAGCTGGAAGTTCCGTTCAGACTTTGGGAAAGGTTAAGTTGAATTTCAGTATTCAAGATAGATGGTTTTGTCATACGTTCCACGTTTTTCCGAACCTAAAAGATCAAATGATCTTAGGGGTAGATTGGCATCTGGCGGAACAAGCGATAGTGGATTACATGCATCATGTGGTATACGTGGGGGTCGAGAAGCGGCATGCTCTTAGTTGGTTATACCAGGCCCGTCGTAAGAATACCAGTGTTGCAGTTCCTAGCGGAACTCCACCGGAAATTGCAAAAGTGATACAAAATTTTCCGGATGTTTTCACGGAAGATTGGGGGATGGCGCATACAGCCACCGCCCGTCACGATATTGTTTTGAGAAACAATATTACTGTCCGAGAACGTCGTTACACTTACACACCTGAGAAAAGACGAATAATACAGGCAGAAGTTGCGAAGATGCTTAGTAAGGGAGTCATCCGACGCAGCAATTCCAACTTCGCGTCGCCTATTGTCTTGGTGCGTAAGAAGAATGGGGAAGTTCGATTTTGCGTGGATTACCGGAAGCTGAACGCGATAACAGTAGATGAAGTCACGCAAATGCCCAATATCCGCGAAACCATTCGGGATTTGGGAGAGGCGAAATGTTTTACGTCTATGGATTTGTTAGCTGGTTATTGGCAGGTGAAGATGTCCGAACGAGCCGCTCATATGACGGCCTTCGTGACACCCGACGGGGCAGCGTACGAATTTACGGTGATGCCGTTTGGGCTGAAAAATGCCCCAGCCACCTTCACCAAGCTCATGGCAGAAGTGTTGGCAGGTTATATCGATAAATTCGTGAAAATCTACCTGGATGACGTGTTGGTCTATTCCAATAATTGGGAAGATCACGAAAACACGTTCATCTCGTTTTGGAAAGGTTTCGGGCGCATAACCTGACGGTGAACATCGAGAAATGCTCAATTGCTGCGAAAGAATTGGAGTATTTAGGTTTTGTAATCTCGCAGGAGATAAACCGACCCCAAGCCTGTCATTTAGCCAGCATAACGGAACATCCACGACCAAAAACAAGGAAAGAGTTGCGACAGTTCCTAGGAACGGCAAATTGGCTGAGGGAGTTTGTACCGAACTTCGCGGACATCTCCGGCCCTCTTACAGACCTCACTTCCACCAAAAACCCTTTCAAGTGGAACGAGGCAGCTGAGGCTGCGTTCCAAGCTTTGAAGGATAGTATGACCCAACCCTTACAGTTGTACAGGCCTAAGAACGACTTAGACTTTTGGATACAAACTGATGCCTCTAAGCAAGGCATGGGATGCGTGCTATACCAAAAATCGGCGGACGGGCAAAAGAGAGTGATCAGTTATGCCAGCGCTAAATTCAAGCCAGCTGAGCAGCGCTATCACATAAATGAGCAGGAATGCTTGGCGGTTATATGGGCATGTAAAATGTACCAGCCGTATCTTGAAGGGAAAAAGTTCCATCTTGTAACCGATAGCAAAGCTCTGGTTTGGCTAAACCAGTTCAAGGATGAACGAGCTAAGCTAACGAGGTGGGCTCTTCATTTGCAAGAATTCTCATTTGAGATCCATCATTGCCAAGGCAAGGACAATGAGTTGGCGGATTACTTGTCGCGACACCCGGCCAATATACAGTGCCAACAACCGGATGATAGCCGTTTAGTGGTGCCGGACTATAAGGAAACGCCTGAAACCGAGTCTGATGAGGAATCAGATCGTGCTAGTCCGCAAACGTGTTCTCTTCTCGAGCGCGACGATCTGTTCGCTGAAATTGCAGCTTCCCAACAAGACTGTCCTGAGGTGAAGGACGCGGTAAGTCATTGGGAAATGCTAAGGTCGTTGACACCAGAGGAAAGAGAACGTTTGGAACCATGGGAGAGTCGACTTTGGAATTCTTTTGAGGTTAAGGATGATCTTTTGTGGAAACAATCGTCCGTGGAGGGTAGTCATGCTAGGCAGCTTGTAGTTCCGAAACATAAGCTTGCCCGACTAATCCATAGATTCCACGATCATGAGGATGCCTGTCACCCTGGGGTACTGGAAACATATAAGTCAGCAACTAGACTGTACTACGCGACTGGTCTGAAGGACCTAGTGAAACGCTTCGTACACGCTTGTCTAGTTTGCACTTGTACGAAACCAGGCGCGGCACAGCCAGCCGCCCCCCAGAGGCCTATTCTCCCTCAAGGACCCTTCCAAGTCATCAGTATTGATCCCATGGGGCCCTACCCGAGGACCCAAACAGGAAATACGATCCTGTTTGTCGGTACTTGCATTGCGAGTAAATGGGTAGAGGCCGAACCCAAACCAGATGTAGTCTCAAAAACAGCCGTTAGTTTCTTGCATAACATGTGCACGAGATGGGGATACCCAAAACTCGTGATCACAGATGGTTCCAGCACTTTTCAAGGTAGACAGTGGGTCGAGTATCTTGAAAAGAACAGCATCGAACACCGTATCTCATCGGCATATCACCAGAGAGCGAATCCGGTGGAGAGACGGAATCAGGAGTTGAAAAAGGCAATACGAGCTAGAGTGATGTCGTCAACACTGCCCACGAGCTGGGAAAGAGACTTAAATAGCATACTCTTCGCATTGAGAAACAGGACGAATCTCGCCACGGGAATCACCCCGGCCGAGTATGTCACTGGCTACACCCTTCCTAGGCCCGGCGAATGGAAACACCCCAATTTCCAAGTCGAAAGTGCCCAGCAGACGGCTGAACTTCGGCGAAAAGCGCGAGGACGCGCGCCGAAAGCAGATTGTGTACGCCAGGGATTTGTTCCCGCACGCTACTGACCCCCCGCTGTCTCATTTCAGCCTGGAGACCAGGTCATGATGCGCGAACGTCGAAATGAACCATTTGCAAAGAAATGGGTGGGTCCATATCAAGTCGTGAAACAACTCGATGATGTCACGTATGAGGTCCTCCACGATAATGGGGTTGCACAACTTCACGTAGATGACCTCAGACCATCGAGAACCCGATATAGAGTAATAAACTCTAGGGCCCGAGACATCCTCATTCCACGTCCGGACGAGGATGAGTCTCAAGACATTCTCCCTGAAGATCTTCCGTTCTCACCCTAAACTAGTGATGAAAACTATATATATATCTCGATTTTTCAAGTTGGACACGTCGAGCCCAACCAGCCATGCAACTATCCGAAGGGGGGGAGTATGAAGTGTTTTGAATGGTTTTCACGCCCACCATACACTATCACCACGTATCTCCGCGATAGAGCTCTGATTTTCACTGTAATAACGTTGTAACATAAGCCCTAGTTTACCGTGCAGTGAACAGTGCGTTTGTGTGCGCGAAACCGCGGTTCCGTTCCAATCGGACTTTGTTGGAAACCGTGAGATAGACAACAACCAGATTGCTACTCACGGGAGTAGAAGCCACTTGTAAAATATTAGATATAGTTTATCCTTGCAGTTGACAGTATCAGAGCACCTGTCACTGTTGTATATAGTCCGTGATAGGGTAGTTTTAAGGAAACCAAAATTGTTGTTAATTTCAGGAGAAATCGTGTACCAAGGTAAAGTGGCTGAATAGAAATGCCGAGCGCATTTTGCAACTACTTGGTCAATTTAGTAAAGTTGCTGAATAGAGATGCCGAGCGCATTTTTGCAACTACCTGAATCAAAGATTATGTGACATTGCTGAATAGAAATGCCAAGTGCATTTTTGCAACTACTTGGTTAACGATTATAACACATTGCTGAATAGAAGTGCCGAACGCACTTTTGCAACGAGGTAATCAACGATTGTAAGATATTACTGATAAGAAATGTATACCATTTTTGTAATAATTGAACGATTTCTGTGAATATTCTTCTCTTGCAGGGTTTGTAAGCATTATGCGACTGAAACCTTATGTAAACCATTATTATTGTGAAAATAAAGGCTCTGCGTAAAAACGCACCCAAAACAACTTCACAATAGGTGGGGAGGTGTCGCGAACCGCGCTTTATAACTTTCGAAAACGACAAGTTAGGAAAAAAGTAACTGCAGATTCAGAATCAGAACGTTCAGATCTTCAATCGTGCCAAGTTTCGTCAAAATCAAAGAATATCAAAAACGATCATTTTTTGCACAAGAGTGATTAGGGGGCCTTTTTGAGATTCGACGCCAGCGAGCGCGAGCGCTCAGTGTTCGGTCCGCCCTAATCCTTTATAAGAACGCGAAAATTTGATCGGAGTAACAGATTCAACAGATTCGAGAGAGATCGAAGAGATTCAGCAGCGAGCAGATACCACGATGCCCTCTCCAGTTCTCCGCGACCACTCTGCCTAGCAGCATCCGAGCAGTCCGCCGAGAACGCCGAATCGTTCCGTCTCAGCGATACAGCCAGTCGAGCCGCGCACTCCTGGCCCGACCGCCGTCGCGAACGGATAGGTCCGCGGGACGTAAAATAAAATTCGAGTTGCTAACCCCTCGGGTGGGGTATTGAAACGGGTCGAAATATCGAAATACACCGAATACCTATTGTGAGTTGTGGGGTTGCCATATTGTTTAAAAAAAAAAACAAAGGTGGTTTTAACCCCACAACTGCACTTCACTGAGAGAAAAAGGTTACACTCACGTTGGCACGAAAGGGGTAGAACGGGGAGATTATCATCTCCGCAAGACGTTCACTCTGTGCATTATTACCTTGGATATCATCAGCAGTACGGAACAGGCCGAGCT